TATTAATTGTTTGAGAAATTTAAATGAGGTTTCCATTCTCTCATTTTGAAATTCTCTTTTCAATTTCTGCTTTATATGTAAGTTGATGTCTACTACCAATGTATATAATTAATGGTGGAATGATTTTTTTCATATTATTTTTGGGCAACAAAATGTTTTTTTTTTTTCCCTCCCAAAAAAGGAATGAGGTATTAAATCTAATGTTTGTTGGCTATATTTTAAGTTATTAATATTAAGTTACTCTTCACATATTAATACTTCACAGAGTCATGGAATTTTTTTTGTGTCCTGCTGTAATAGGGCTCAGTTCTTTTTTTCTTGGTTATCCTCTTTTTTCTTTTTTTAAAACTTTTCCACATCTTATAGGAATTGCTGGCAATTAAAGCACTGATATGGAGAAGGAGCTTCACTGCCAAAATGTCTCAGAGCCTTTGAGAAAGCAGTAATACTGATCTTACTCCTTTCCATTTTGGCTATTTCTAAAAATTTTGGGTAGTGGAGTATGGTTGTAAGTTCCTGTTCTATTTTAAAAGTCTTCAAGACTAACTGCAGAATTACAATTTTTCTGTTGGGATAATGACCCGGCTTCTTAAATTAATATTCAAGGACCTCAGGTTTGTCTCCAAATTAATTTGACTCTTATCTTTTCCTTTAATGAAGCTGCTGCTCCACTCAAACTTGGCTGTTTGAAGGTTTACACCTTTGTGTGTTTGCTTCACTATTTTTCCCTCCTTTTGGCTCCTAACCCTCCAAAATTGAATATAATTGCTTATCTAAGTTACATTCATTCTTTAAGGCTTTAATATACTTTTATTAGCCATTTCTATCACTTATTTTTGGAAAGTGTTCCTTTTTCTCTATATCAAACAGTATTTCTCATATTGTTTCTAAGTAATTCATTTATTAATATGTTTGTGATAAAGTATATGAAATAAGTATTTGACCAAATCCTAATCCTACATTAAAAACCTAGTTCTTAAATAATGTTGGAGACAGTTTTAATAGAACTTCAATTTCTTTGAAATAGAGAACTTTTATTGAGATAAATGGAAGGCTACATATATCTAAACTAAATTTTAAAATAGAGTATGTTTTTTCAAACCATCGCCTTTTTTCTTATTCCAGTTCAACTTTGCTGGCTTTTATCATGGAGTTGTTGAAGAATTCAATTGCTATGCAAGAGCAGATGCTTGCCTGTAAGGGCTTCTTGGTAATAGGATACAGTCTTGAAAAGGTAAAGTAGGAAATATTTTCTGTTTTTGATTCTTAATTTGTAGGCCATGTACTTGTTCTCCTAAGAGGTTAAGAAATTCTGTCTGCAGGTATATCTCTTTGGTTATAGAAAATTACCTAAATTAAAGTAACATTTTCTTGTTTTACCTTGCCTCCATTCCTCTAATAAGGAAATGTGAGGGCCGGCCCGTGGCTCACTCGGAAAAGTGTGGTGCTGATAACACCAAGTCAAGGGTTAAGATCCCCTTACCGGTCATCTTTTTAAACAAAAAGGAAATGTGGTAATGAGCCTCATGGCATCTTTAACTGTGAGCATGTTTTGTGGGCCAACTTTTTTTCTGGTATAGAGGCTATAATTTACTTACCTTGCATTGAAACAGTAGTGTACTTTTCTTTGC